GTTTAAACAGGAACTCTCCATTGTCAGGGTATATATAAACTCACAGATTTAAACATAATCCCCATTCATAGCAGCAAAAAATTGAAAGAAGCTTAGGCAATACTAGGGGAGTAGTCACCTAGGCCATGGTTCATGTATATTAGAAAATGTTGTGTTCTTATGAAAAACTGTGCTCATAAACCTGTTTAAAGACATGACAAGATGCTTACAATAGTGTTGTTTAAAAAAAAAACTATTAAGACAGCATTTCACCCATGTAAATATACCATATTCTTTTTTCCAATTTTCCATAGTGGTCTTATATTCATTTTATAATGAGAAGAAAAAGAAAACCTATTTTATGTACCAAAGGCTCTTGATCTCATTTCCTAAATGATGGTATTTTCCTCATCAACCATCGCTTGTTCCCAGCACCAAACTTCCTATGTTCTTCTGTGTGCAGAACCCTACCCACCAGGAGGAGGTCCCCAAGAGGAAGTAGATTGCTGTGAGCATCAGGTGACAACCTTCCCGAGGCCACACCATCGGAACTTAGTGAGCTCTAAGTTATATGGTGCGGCCTACTATGTAAACAGACTGTAGGTTTATGCCACATAAGGAGTGAAAATGGAGAGCTAAGGCCTTAAGACACAACGCAGCTAAAAGGAATAACCAGGAGGCCGACTAAAAGGACGGCAACAGAGCTGGGCACAGAGCTCCACCTGCAGCCCCAGTTAGATGGAAGGCTGAGGCAGGAGGGTCACACAGATTCAAGAGTTTGAGGTCAGCCAGGGCAACATAGCCCTTGACTCAAAAAAAAAAAAAAAAAAGTACAGTAATAACAAATGCCTATTGAATTATAAAGACTTTATTCCAAGTTCTTCATAACCCTTAGCCTCAGTGCAGCACTACAGGTCTAGCTGAAGGAATTACGGCACAACCTTATAATGGCATGGTATGCAGCTATTTAAAGCACAGGTCAGGTGTGGTGGCACACACTTGTAATCCCACGCTCAGGAGGCTGAGGCAGGAGGATTGTTGGGAGTGTGAGGCCAGCCTGGGCTGCACAGTGAGTATAAGGCAGCCTGAACTTAATAGCAAGACCCTATCTCAAAAAAAGAAAGAAAGAAAGAAAGAAAGAAAGAAAGAAAGAAAGAAAGAAAGAAAGAAAGAAAGAAAGAAAGAAAGAAAGAGAAAG